TGGTTCAGTATAGTTCACTTCATAACTTTAACTGTCTTTCCTTTACTAGAATGCTTGCTTCCAGAGTTTAGCTTTTGTTATTTATCTCCTAGGTTCAGATATCTTATTTTTAAAAGGGGACTCAATATTTATTTGTTAAATATAGATTCTGACTTCTAGCTGAAAGAATCAATTATGTTATGAAAAGGTTGGAAATATCTTATGTAGAAACTAGTGTTTATATGTGAGTATGTCTTTTAAGGGCTCATTTCCATCAGAAATGTGGTGTGGGAAATACACATGTTAAAGTACCGACTTTGGGCTTGTTTATCTTTGACTTACTCTGAATTTCTCCATCATTTAAAAAGCATTCTAAGACCAGGGTAAAAAAAGATGATAAAATCCTGTTTAGCAGCAACTTAGGATTCTATATACTGGCTCATGTTTGAGATTCTGATTTCTTATTTTGTGGGCTCCATTGTGCCAGTTTACTGTTTGTATTTCTCCATGAACTATTCTTTAGCTTTTATGCAAATCTGTGAAAAATCAGCCAACCACTTTATTTTGGCATTTACTGACTAGCTAAGTGCTACCAACTCAAACAGTGTAATATTCATTTATGGCTTGAGTAACATTGGAATTTAGCTTGCCTTCCATAAATATTCATTTAAATATTTTACCTGTCCTCTTCAAGAGCTTCCCAGTGAAATGTGCACCGCTGCTCAGTAGGTTGTGTGGCTTGGTTCTATACATGGTGCACACGGCCCTCGTCCCCAGCACAGGATGCTTTCGTGTACACAGTCCTCCCCGAAGTATGCGTATTGGAGCCAATGGTCCCTCCCACTGAGCATCTAGCAAACTCCCGAAGAGGAAGTTTTAAGGGATGGTGTACAGAGGAATGGAGCACCTGGATAGAGGCGTGGTCTGCTCCAACTCAACAGATACTAGGAAGCAGCACTCACCCAGGGGTTAGGAAGTATCCACACAGGTGAAGACTGAATACTCAACTAATGTCTTGGACGGTCACAGCTCTTCAGGGCTCTTTCAGTGCTCTTGATAATAACTTTTCTCCTTGTTCACTGGGTGCAGTGGAGAATCTGAGAATTTTGAGGCACTGCCCCATTTTTTCAACATTTGTTATCTGTTTCCTGTATTTCTAGATTTTCTCCTTTATCATTTTTCCCCATAATAATCCAAAATAAAGATTTTTACAAAGAAGTTCCAAATAATCCTTTAGACAGGAATGCATGGCTCACTTGGCTAATCCTCCACCTGCGTTGCTGGCACCCAGGGTCTAGTTCCGGTTGGGGCGCCAGATTCTGTCCCTGTTGCTCCTTTTCCATTCCAGCTCTCTGTTGTGGCCCGGGAAGGCAGTGGAAGATGGCCCAAGTGCTTGGGCCCTGCACCCGCATGAGAGACCAGGAGAAGCACCTGGCTCCTGGCTTTGGATTGGTGCAGCTCGCCAGCTGTAGCGGCCATTGTGGGTGGGGGGAGTTGGACCAATGGAAGAAACATCTTTCTATCTCTCTCTTTCTCACTGTCTAACTCTGTCAGTCCAAAAAAAAAAAAAAAAAAAAAAGAATGCAAGCAGGAGGGACTTAAAAGCTTATTCTCTGGGCTAGCGCCATGGCTCAGTAGGTTAATCTTCTGGCTGCCGCACCAGCATCCCATATGGGTGCCGGTTCTAGTCCTGAGTGCTCCTCTTCTGATCCAGCTCTCTGATGTGGCCTGGGAAAGCAGTAGAAGATGGCCAAGTCCTTGAGCCCCTGCACCCACATGAGAGACTGGGAAGAAGCACCTGGCTCCTGGCTTTGGATCACCGCAGCTCCGGCCGTTGCGGCCATTTGGGGAGTGAATCAATGGACGGAAGTCCTTTCTCTCTGTCTTTCCCTCTCACTGTCTGTAATTCTACCTCTCAAATAAATAAATAAAATCTTTAAAAAAAGCTTATCCTCCTTTTCTATAGGGTAAATAGCACTCAAATTCTAGAAATATAGTGCTGTATCTTTTGAGATAGTCTCACTGAAGATGGGTAACACATGTGAGGACTGTTTATGTCATTGTCAACAGGAAAAAGAAAAATAAATCAGATTTTACATAAAAAATTGGATGTTCCATATCCTGCATCACTCAAATGAAGGATATACAGAACAATGGAAACTAACTGAACAGTCATTGCAACATAGAACAGACTCAATTACTGCCAGAAGTCAATTATAACTAGATATGTGTTCCACCTATGTTTATTGTTCATTCATTCCTGCCAGTGCTATTCTATCTGTTATTTATTTGTATTGGCTCCTTTCAAAATGCCTGTGAATTAGTTATGTTTAGACACATTCTCAGGATGAGTATACAAAAGGCATAGAGATGGTTAGAAACTTCACCCAACATCAGACAGTTATTTCCAAGTGCTATGATTGGCACTGAACCCAGTTTTTCTGCCTTGTATTCAGTGCCTTTTCCGTTATACCACGCTAAAAATGTATAGTGCTGTTCAGATATCCAATACTAGGTTTTGGCTATTCTCTGTATCTCCATTTAGTACATACATACATTCATATTTTAAAATATGATATGGTCTTTGGTATTATTATCAGAACAGTATGACTAATGATCCATAAACTCTCTGAGCCAGATAGGTTGGTCTCTCTCCTGCTTCACATTCCTTCCTCCCTACACATGGTAAGGAGTTCTGTACCCCTTTTATTCTCCTACACTGAGCTTCTTAACCTTGGCATTGCTCATATTTCGGACTAGGTCATTCTTTGTCATGGAGGGTTGTGATGTGCATTGTTGAATGCCTAGCGACATCCTTTATCTTAATCTATTAAATTCTAGGGGCCGGTGCTGTGGTGTAGCGGGTAAAGCCGCTGCTTGCAGTCCCAGCATCCCATTTGGGTGCTGGTTCAAGTCCCTGCTGCTCCATTTCCAATCTGGCTCTCTGCTATGGCCTGGGATAGCAGTAGAGATGGCCTAAATGTTTAGACCCCTGCACCCACGTGGGAGACCCAGAAGAAGCTTCTGGCTTCGGATTGGTGCAGCTCCGAGCGATGTGGCCATCTGGGGAGTGAACCAGTGGATGGAAGACCTCTCTCTCTCTCTCTCTCTCTCTCTCTCTGCCTCTCTTTCTGTGTAACTCTGTGTAACTCTCTGTGTAACTCTGACTTTCAACTAAATAAATAAATCTAAAAAAAATTCTAATAGCACCACCTGTGTGACAGTAAAAAATGTCTCCATAGTTAATTTAATTGTCAAATATCCCTCGGGAGGCAAAATTGCCCTCAGTGAGATCACTGCTTTAAACTCAATATAAAAGGAACTTAATGAAAGTGTAGTCCCTTTGTTTAGTCCCCATCCTGAATATTAGACATTTTCAGCAATTAATGATTTAGGCATTGTATTAGTCAGATCAAGGCAGACTGTGCTGTGGTAACAAGTGATGTCCAAATAAGCTTAACGCAGATGGTCCTCCCTGAGGCAGGTTGATGTTCAGGTTGCTTTAAACTTCCAGAAGCTTGGCATCTGCTGTGCTTTGATGATCCTGCAGCAGGGAGAAAGACCACAGAGAGTCATGCTTACAACTTAAATGTGTCCATCTGGAAGTGGCACACGTCACTTTAGCTCACATTCTGTTGACAAAAAGCGAGTCACACAACCATACTAACTCTGATGTAGATGGAAAGTTTAGACCTTCAGGCTTAGCAAGGAATATTTCAGAGTATTAATGACTATCACTAGTACAGGGTATTTCCCTAATAACTACTGTCTAAATGCCCTGTATCACATTTATGTGATGTGATTCCAGCAGTGATTGAAATGTAGTATCAGCTGGTTTTCTGTAAGGTATATATACAAGTGAAATAGTAAATAAGATGATGGATGCCATATGCAATAAATTATAGTAATGTGCATTAAATGTCTATTAACTTGCGAAATATTTACATTTTTGTGACGTTTACATTTCATGTAGTAAGTCCTCCACTTAAACAGCATGATATGTCTCCGTTTTTTTATTGCTGCTGTTTTTGATGTCCTCCAGTAATATGTCATTGGTAATCCTGATTAAATTTATTCCTAAATGTTTTATGGCTTTGTTATTATTTTTGAACAAAGTCTTTTTTTCCCCTTTTTCTTCATTCCATTTCTTTCTGACTATTGGAAGTATAAAGAAAAGCTATCTGATTTTTGTATATTTTCCCTCATTCAGATATCTTAGTAATTTCAATACTTTATATAGCTTTTTGAATTTAATCTCTTAGGGAAGTGATTCTCAAGGTTTGACCTTTGAACTAGTGTTAGTGTCATAAAAATTTGTTACAAACCCAAATTCTTGGACCGTCAACTTAGATATGTTGAATCAGAAACTGAGTATACAGCTCAGCCTTAGAGATTTTTAGATATAGAATCTTTACATTTTTTCTTTTTTATTGATATTAACATTGCTCTTCACTTTCTTACATTGTAGCATCAGTTGAAACATGAAGAATGCTGTGTCCTAGTGGAATTAATTTTGATTTTTGATTTTTATTTAGAAGAAGTTTATTGTTTGTGATTTTCTGGTCTGTAGCATATTTAAAATGCCTCATTCTCTTCGTGATTTTTATATAGCATTTTAAATAGGAATGGCTGATGAATTTAGCCAATGTTTTTCAGAATGTATTAATATAGGCGTTTTCACCTATAATTTATTAGTATCTGAAATATATCGATCGGCTTTGTAATGAATGCGTTCATGGAAGAAGCACAACTTGGTGGACTTATTTTAACATATTGCTAGATTTGGTTGGCTAATACCCCTGTCATTCTAGCTAATTGAATTATGTATTTTCCCCAAAACAGCAAACCAGTACCCTTTTTTCTTTTAATAATAATAATACCAGTTCTCATATTCTTAAACATCCAGCTTTTCTTATGCCAGATTTAAAGGTTAATTGCATTTTAACACTACATATTTTATGCAGCTCCTTAGACCTCAAATTAGAATGATAATAATAGTTAACCCCATATGTTCTCATTAGAATTCTACCAAATCTCTGGCTGGGGAGCTGCCCTCGCCAAGTGGAACATGTAACCATCAAACTGAAGCATGAATTGGGCGTTACAGCTATAATGAATTTCCAGACTGAATGGGATATTGTCCAGAACTCCTCAGGCTGTAACCGCTACTCAGAACCCATGACTCCAGACACCATGATTAAGCTGTATAAGGAAGAGGGCTTGGTCTACATCTGGATGCCAACACCAGATATGAGCACCGAAGGTAAGGATTGAAAGAATCATTCTAGCCCCTTGCTCGTGTGTTTCAGAGAAACTTCTGCTGTTTGCCTATCATTTGATTGGCATTGATCAATCCATCTATATAAATTAAGGGTCCGAAACATGAAAAGCAGACATGGAATAAATGTAAGGAAGTATAAGGCTTTAGATTTAGTGTATTTTACACGTGCCTTTTGATGGTTTGACTGAGCATCTGTTTAATGTGGCTTTGATTTTTATTCTTCAGCATATTTATTGTGTATCTGTTATCTGCATGGCGTTATGCTGTTGGCTGGAAACATGAGGGTAAAAAAGACAGGCACACTTGTTCTCCTTGTGGAGTTTATGGTCCTACAGATATTGCAAGTGCTAGGCAAATGACTAAAAACACAAATTTAAAGCTATGTTGAGGTTTTTTGTTAGAAGATATGTAGATATTGCTATGGGAGGATGAACAAGCAATTGGACTTAGGGAGAGGTCAGGGAAGATTTTCTTGGGAAGTGATATTTGAGCTAAGAATTAAGGGAGCTCCGGGGAAGAATGAGGTGGGAGAATGTGCCCCAGGCCTACACAGAAGAATCCCTAAGCAGGAGACAGCACCAAGTGTTGCAGGAACTAGAAGACTAATGTGGCTGCTGATGAAAGAGCAAGGGAAGAGTATCTTGCAGGATTTGGCCCACAATCAATGCTTTAGGAGAGGCAGTAGAGTGGTTGGGAGGTTGGGAAATGCTGAGGTCCATTTTTTTTTCTTTAAAAGTGCACTTTGCATGTAGCAAATGGATTGGAGGTGGAGCTGGGAGGCCAGTTAGGAGCTGAGCACACTAATCGAAGTGGGAGGTAATATGGGATATTGCAGCCCAGGCAGGGGGGTGAGAGTGAGAATTCATTTACTGCACAGGTGCTTGCTTATCATGGCTTTGTGAGAGGGGATATAGAGTGTGGCGGGTGTTGCCAGGGAAGCAGAATCAAAGACGGCATAGTTTTGATCTACTGGTAGGATGCAGTAAAACAAGCCCAAAACGAATGTGAGAGGAATGACTAACATGCTTTTGGCAGAGGGAGGGAGTGATTAACGTGCAGTACATGGGAGGAACATAGAGATGCTACATGCATGCTAGAGCATTTGAGGTGGCCATAGCCTTGACAGGTGTATGTGGAAGGAGGGAGGCATTTGGGATGGAAGAAGTAGCACTGGCCAAGGCACAGAGATGTGGGATCTTAAAGGAATGGTGCATAATTCCACCTGTTTTAGAACAGGGTGCTTATCAAACAAAAACAAAAACAAAGCTACCTAAGCAAAGAAGCAAGTTACACCAATAGTATCAATCCTGCATCAGCAGGGGGCAGCAGAGAGCTGTGGAAATGGCACTGGCTGAGGGAGTGTGCAACCTGCTGGTCTGGGGGAAAAAGGAAGACAGGAGTGCCTAGCAGGAAGCAGGTCTAACATCAGCTCTTTTGCCCAAACACACAGTGTGCATCAAACACTCTGCTCAGCAATTTACAGTCATTAACTTATTTAATTCTCTTAACAAGACTCCAGACATATATTGTAGTTATCTTCATTTTGCAGAGAAAGACTGAGGTATAAACAGTTAAGTAACCTTGAATAGGAGACCAGGGTATGGAGTGGCATGGCATAGATCTCCCAGCTGGCAGCCAGATGCAGGGTGTTGCAGATGCAGAGACCCACAGGGTCTCAGGAACTCAGGTTCATGATCAACTCAAGTTACACAAAGTCATGAGTTTCAGGGATGGTGGTTTCTCTCTCAGAGGGCAATGGTTCCCACAATGGATGACCTTGAGTATCACAGGGAACCTATGCAGAGGCAGCCTTGGCCCCATATAACATCTCAGGTAGTCCTTCTAGTCTCTGTCTGAATGAACTGTCATGGTGGATGGGGCATAGTTTTTGGTTCTGAAAGCAGGAGTAGTAATTTACAGTTTGGTAACTCTTCTCTAACCTGATCCAAGGAAGTTTAATTTCCCCTTTAGAGTCCTGTCATTTTTTTCAAGGAAGAAAAAAAAATTTTGCCCTGAAGACCACTCGTTGAACTTAAGTTATATTTACCATGTCCAGTTTGTTTCTCTAGTTTCAAGAGAGTTAGGATTCCATGATTGTAGCTTCCAGAGGGTGTTTTGACTTTAGCTTCTTTGACTCTGATCTGATAGCACAGTTATTATGGGAGATGGGGCTGGGAGAAGTTGAGCTACTGACTGTGCTATGCTGTGCTTCCCGTTCCCTCCCAGGCACTGATTACCTGAAGGTTCTGCTGACTGACAGGCAATTTGCTTGGAAGTTTAGGGGTCTGCAGAAGCCTACAGAAATAGTGTACCCCCACCCCAAGGTCCATTGTAGCTGAGTTAAACCTTTTCTTCTTGGGGGAGGTGTCACTGGGTCACCAGATCCCAGTTGCTGCTGTTTAGTGTAGTGTAGCAATGACACATCTCCGATGGCGACAGGAACTGCAGCTCAGATAGCGGGCTATAAAAGCTGACGACAGCAATGGAAGTTGAGAAACATCAGACTCTCTGGTTAAAGAAAGCTTTTCTTTGGTGCAGCCTAAGCTGTGGCAGTAGCCAAAGGGTTAATCATTAGCGAGTGGTGGTGGGGAGGAGTGTAGGACCTTCTCACCAACAGATCAATCTGTGTGGCTCACAGTATTATCACGAGGAAGTATGGATTAATTCAGCTGAATAGTTTTAGAACTCCAGAGAAAAATCCATTGAAAGTGTTGTGAGCTGCTGCATAATGCTGTTGGATAACATCGGGAGAGGAAGACAGTCTGTAGGCTTGACTGTCACGACTGGTTGTTACAGGCCTGTTCTAGTCGATCATGCTATCGATCCTTACTCCTGTACACTGTGTCATATGCAGATGAGGTGGCTGAGATTTCTTTTTCACCTTTTCTTCAAAATTTTTGGTTTGTGTCTTTGACCTGGGAGATAAGGATCACTCAAATCCAGCACTCAGCTAAACAGAACAAAACAAATCTTGTTAAAATTTCCTTGGCATAGAAATTATTCAGATTGAATGTTGACCTCTCTGACAGACTGAACTTAGCCCCACCATCTACAAAGTCACTGATGGTAGAGCTGGAACACCTGGACTTGAACTTTGTAACCATTGGTAACTGTGGTACGGGAAGGCTAGTTCCTGCACTGGGAAAATGGGGAAAGTACTTTGTACCTTGCAGCTTGGAACAGTAGAGTAAGATAATTAAGTAAGATAATTAGTGTGAAATGACTTTCAGTATCACAAAGTTGAGGCTGCATTACGGATTAAATTGACCTTGTCTATCTTAACACTCCAAAGATGGAAAATAAGATATGCACAAATAAAATGTTAATATATTCAGCTTTATATATGCCCCTGAAATAAGAAAGATGTGTGTGTGTGTGTGTTTGTGTGTGTGTGTGTGTGTGAGAGAGAGAGACAGAGACAGAGAAAGCATGACAGAGTGAGAGAGCGAGAGACAGAAAGATTAGAGAGAGATTGAAAATTGTGCCTTGAGTTATTTCTTTTAGGGTCAAACTTTACACAAAGCATAGCTTTCAGGCCTTTTGAACCTTCAGGCTGTCCCCATGTACCTGACAAACACTCTTTTCCTCCATCTCTTACCACTTTGGCTTACTCAGTGGTGATTTGCAGAGTGGTTTTAATCATTCTAGTGTTAGATTAATCTAAAGCAGGGATGGACCACAAGTTAGGCAAGTGGGAGCTAGTAGTGTCTCAAGTCCAATAGACATTATTGGCTTTTGTTGTTGGTGTTTTTTTTTCTTTGTTTTTAAAGATTTATGTATTTGTTTGAAAGGCAGAGTGACAGATGGAGAGCAGGAGGGAGAGGGAGAAGAACATAGAAGGAGTGAGGAAAGAAGGAGAGTGAGAGGTCTTCCATTTGCTGGATCACTCCTCCAATGCACTAACATTTGCAGTTAGGAAGGACTGAAGTCATGAGCCTGGAATTCTACCAGGTCTACCTGGGTAGGTACTCAAGTCACTAGAGGTATCATCTGCTGCTTTCCTAGGTGTACTGGCAGGAGGCTAGATTGGAAACAGAAGAGCTAGGGCTTGAACTGGCACTCCAGTAATATAAATGGGCATCCCAAGTGTGGGCTTAACATACTGCCCCACAACACCTGCCTCTGTTTTGTTTTCATTCCTGCATTTAATGAATGCTTATTGAGCAACTGAGACCCAGGGCCTGTTTTAAATTTCAAAATAAGAACCACAGACTTTAGAGTCTTTTGTTTGACCTGTATGGGGGGTTTACATGTTTTAACTTAGTTGCCAGCAATTTAAAATTTGGAATATTTTTCATGATTAAAAGATCTGGGTTTCTGTCTCATCCTGAGATTTTACTTTTTTATATATTATTTTTTAAAGATTTATTTATCTGAAAGGCAGAGTTACAGAGAGGCAGAGAGAGAGGGAAGGGTCTTCCGTCTGCTAGTTCGTTCCCCAAATGGCTGCAAAAGCTGGAGTTGGGCTGATCCAAAGCCAGGAGCCAGGAGATTCTTCCAGGTTTCCCATGTGGGTGCAGGGCTCCAAGCACTTGGGCCATCAGCTACTGCTTTCCCAGGCCATAGCAGAGATCTGGATTGGAAGTGGAGCAGCTGGGTCTCAAACCGGTGCCCATATGGGATGCTGGCACTGCAGGCAGTGGCTTTACTCGCCACATCACAGTGCTGGACTTGGTTTTACTGTTTTTAAGGATGGAATTTTTGGAATCAAATTACATTCTATTTAAAGCCTATCAATAGGAAAGATAAAAATCAGCTACTCTAGTTGAACTGGCTCTATTGGATAGGAAATGTGGTCTTAGAGACCCTCTTTTCATTCATTGGGGGGTTACCTTTCAGCTTATCCTTCCTGGTATGGGCTTTAAAGCAGAGGGAGATGGGCTATTGTTACAGGGAGCTAACCTAGTGTAGAGGTACAGGCGTAAACCACAAGGAGGTAGCACTCTCACAAGGGGCACAGCACAACCAGGAAAGTGGGATATAGAGGATTAGCTGAGAATTCAGACTGACAAGAAAGGTGCGGAAAGGGCCATTGATCAGGCTGGTTAGGGAAGGACCATAATGGAGCAGTTAAAACCAGGGACTTTGGAGTCCAACAAGCTGAATTGCAGTGGCCACTTAGAGAACAACACTGGATACATCTCTCTGCCTCAGTTCCTTCATATGTACACTGAGGACAACAATGTCACTGACCTCATAGGTAATAGGTGGCTGAAAAATGACTTATTTTGTGCAAAATGCGTAGACCAATCCTTGACAGATGGAAAGGGCTCAGTAAATGTTATCTGCCATTAATCAACGCAGGGTGATTTGTAGTCACTAGAGTTCAGAAAAACCAAAGGCTCCAGCTGAGGCCAGGCAAGACAGGTGGACACCCTGATCTGACTACTTCTCTGGTGCCCCTTTATATTACGTGTCCTGGGAGAAGACCACTCATAGGTGACTGCATTCTGATGAGTCAAACTCATGTGTAGCTGGGAATCTTTGGTGCTTTCCCTGTGGCCACTGACAAATGCCTGGCAGAAGGATGTGAGATCATTGATCAGAAAACCTCAAGCTAACACCTATGCCTTTTTAACTTCTAGAATGTGTATATGACGCCTTAAGAGTCTTTTACAGATAAAAATGAAAAGGGAAGGGACTGCATTGTTTGACGTGTCATTGGGACACCTCTGTCTGGAAAGCAGGTCTGGAAAAGGGATCGTGACCTGTGTTAGCTGTGTTTGGCAGCCTGGATACACTTACGCTGGGCAGGTTGAGCACCTGGCAGTTCCTGCTGCAATGGCCACTGCATTCCATTCGTATGTTGAGCATGTGGCCAAGCCCCACATTGCATATTCTTCATTAGTTTCTGCCAAGGTGTACAGTATCAGGTGGCAACCATCGTATGGAACTTGTCAGGTGATCCCAGTTGTGGTGGAGGTAGCAAGAACCCACCCTTCTCAGAGCTATCAGTGGGGTCTTTTCCACTCAGCATTCTTGGAATAAACTGCTCATAGCCCCGCCACAGAATAAATGTGGTGCAGCTGGGTAGGCTTCAGCCTCCTCAGCAGCATAAAGAAAGAATTCCTTGGAGGTTTTGCCTCCTCTGCTCCCCGGCTCAAGGGTGGACTGAACACACAGTGCTGTTCTCAAGACTGGCCATGGCTACCTCATTGGCATGTCTCATGTCTCAGGCCCACACCTTGTTGCTGCTCCAGAGATATTTTAGTGTCTCTACGACAACATCAAGGATTGATGTGGCAGGCCCCCTCACCGTAATGTCAGAGAACCTGGTGACCAGACATGGGGATTCAGGTGAGTTAGATTTCCTGGCTCTGTTTGGACCATGAGAAGTCAAAATAAATAGGAGCTGCTGTGTCTTTGACTCAGATAACCTCAGAGACCATGCAGGAAGCATGAGTAAGGCAGCAGGAAGTAGAGAGTGATGGGGCTCAGGAGCCACCAGGTATGCCCTGTCTGTAGCTTTAGATCTCTTGTTAGAAGGATGAACAGAGCCTGAGAGCAAGAGTAGAATATTATTCTAACTCTGAGAGCATGGGGAGCCGGGTAGACAATGATTGAGATGGCCTTCAAGCCACCACAGGGTCTGCGGTAAACTATGTTCTTCTAAGGTGTTGATGCCCAATCTCAATGTGTGTTGGCCCCTGCAGGGGCACTTGCATTTTAAGAGAGAACGCCTGAGGAGGGAGGTCTAGACTTACTCGAATGACTCACATGTGAGAATTGTGGGTCTCAGCGAAAATTCACAGTCGAGCTCACACGGGGACAGCTTTTCCTGTCCTTTCAGTCATCCAGCTAGGATGGTAACGTGAAGGCAAAGAGGGCCCTTCTGTGGGGTCCTTGGAGGAACCTTGGGGGGCCCTGTCTCCCGGTAGGACTGTCGACAGGGTGTTGGGCAGGACAGAGTGGGCTCCTCATAGGCATGCGATTGTAATGCAGGACTGTGGATTTTCCTTCTTTCCTTTTGCAGCAGTTTACTCTGGTTCCCACCAGACACCAAAACTCCCAACTCCTGAGCTATCTCTGTACCGAGAGCCTGGGAGCTGAAGAATTCCAGGGAACCTGAAATACAAAGAGATCACTGGCGGGGGTGGGGGGGCTCCTCTGGTCTGCTGGAGGAAGAGGACCTGGTTCTGTCAACACTCAGCAGGGCATGGCACACCCCCTCTGTGGGATGGGAAAGCATTTGAATAATAATCAAAATAACAGTCATGAAGCTGTCATGACCATAATCATAATTAACCAATAACTGATTCAGTCATAGTTAGTACTCATTGCATAATGACAGGATAAATGAATGATCAGTTAGCCCACATGTAGTCAACCATCCCATTGGACTGAATTTTAACTTTTTAAAATTAACATATTTAAACTTCAAGTTTCATTTGTCTAACCAGTGACCAAGACTGATCCCTTTATTTTTTTGTGTTTTACTATGTTTTGTTTTGTTTTTTGAAGGTTTTTCAGATTAAATGAAATTCAGGTGACAGGACCTGACAAGTTTTCTATAACATTACCTCAATCTCTGCCCAATCTCTGCAAGCCCTTGGGACAGTTGTAAGCATCCAGTCTTCTGATGATAGGTGGTATTGACATTTCTTTGGAGGAAAATTTGCATCAGTAGCAAAGTCACTCAAAGGAGCAGCCATCTCTGGGGAAGGTTCAGAGCACAGCCATTGCCTCTCAGATCGTCTCATGTTTTCCTTCCAAACAAAGGATGGAGCAAATGTTCACGTCCTGGGCTCACCCTGTGAGTGGGTCTGGGATTTCTCCATGCACTGGCAAAGAAACTGGAAGCCACGGGGGCAGTTTCCTTATTCACCTGTTTGTGCTGTGCTTTCTCCATCCTAGGCCGAGTACAGATGCTGCCACAAGCCGTCTGTCTCCTTCATGCCCTTCTGGAGAACGGACACACCGTGTATGTCCACTGCAACGCTGGAGTGGGCCGCTCCACTGCCGCCGTGTGCGGCTGGCTCCAATATGTGATGGGCTGGAGTCTCAGGAAGGTCCAGTACTTCCTCATGGCCAAGAGGCCAGCTGTGTACATTGATGAGGATGCCTTGGCCCGCGCACAAGACGATTTCTTCCAGAAGTTTGGGAAGGTTCGATCTTCTACAGGCAGTCTGTAGCAGCCCACTTGCCTCCTCTTCCTCTCAATTTCCTTAATTCAAATGATCTAGAAACAAAGATTCTACCTGAATGGAAAGGACTGTGGATGAGAACTTGTCTCTTAGGCTGCTCCGGTTCATCCAGGGGATAATTTTCTATTGTTTAGGTTGGGCTGTGCCCTCGACATATTTTGCCTAAGAAGTTATGACACATAAGCCAAAGCCAAAAACAGCTGGTTGTGCAGTGCTGTTCTGTGCATCAGATAGGAAGGGAATAGGTGCAGGTCCTGCTGCATACAGATAGAAAAACCCTGTGCTTTACTCTGCATGTGCTGTACAAAGCACTGTGGATTCATGAGAGCATGTACCTGTTGCATCATAGCCCCTTGACATAAAGAGGAAAAAACAGAGAGGTACATGGACTCACACACACACACGCATACCCACAGTGCTTTCCTGCTGAGTTGAACTAAATTTATAAACATCAGAGTCAGTCAGTTGCCAGAACAGGGAATCACAGTAAAAATTTGGACTGTGACAAAGGAAGAGCTCAACATGACTAAAAGTGAATGGCTTTCTAGACTTTGTATCTGCATGCTGCCTTGCAGTGGTCAAAGTCTGGTCCAGGGCATCACTTTCCTTATCCACCCAAGAGCTTTCAATCAAAATATCCCTCACTCTCTATTTGTTCCCATTTGAGGCTTAGTGAGCATGAGTGCTTGCTGAAAGTCTCCTGCTAGTCAGGGATGACCCATATTTCTTGATTCTGCTGTTTCCAGATCAACGTGTTGTTTCTCCACCATGGTGTAGTGAATTCAGCTTTGCCTCTTCAGATAAGGCTGATGCTCCGACAGCAGTTTCAATAGTGAAATATGGAAAAGTGGTACAGTGTTCTGATAAGTTGCCAACAAATTTACGAAAGTAGTTGCATTTTGTGCAACCTGATTTAAAATACTGTCTCAGCCAATGTGGCCTGAGCCATAGCTCTTGAGAGGAGAGAGCCCCAAATCCACAACCCAGAACTGATCCTGGTTCAGTCCTCAATATGCACTTCCTGTGCCTCCAGAATACGAGATTTGCTACCTTAAATTGTGCAGAAAGTACCAAGGTGAGCAAGACTTTGCCTTCAAAAGCGTGTAGCCTTCTAACAGACCTGTGTTCAACCAACTGTCATGCGGGATTGGACTGCGAAAGCTATGCTAGAATAGAGGAAGGGAAAATATCTTTTAGTCAAGTGCCTCTATGTGCTAGGTGCTTTACAATCTTTGTGATCTTAACCACGTTGATCTTCATGGTACCCTGTGAAAGAGCTGTCACCATCTCTGCTGTATAGAAGAACTAAGACTCAGAGATGTTAAAGCAACCGTCCACTGTGACATGGTAAATAAATACATGAAATGAGATAAGGCTAGATTTGTTAGAATCAAGGATCATAGTTTTTTTTTTTTTTTCTCCATTACACTATAGTGCTTATTTATTTATTTTGGCTCCTCATTTTCTCCCCAAAATATAGAATGATTGATAGGGGAGACTCTCACAGGAGGCATCAGAAATTAGAAGGGTACAAGGTAAGTTCCGGTTGCGCTCAAAGGAGAGGGAGATGTCTCATTATTGTGGCACTCAGGCAAGATAACATGTCTTCTGGGCAGAGGTGGCCAGGCAGGATTCATTTCTTCTGAACTTTTACAAAGCTAAATTTATAAGCCAGCATCGAATAATGTGACATCTAGCTCCATTGCTAATAATAGCTAGAAATAGCTATTGTATTCAAGAACCCATTTATAGCCATAATGTGTTATGTAAAATTTAATTGTATGGTTGGAATATTTTAAAATAATTATATATGTATGTGTGTGAGAGTTTCTTTAACATCTAACCAATCTAGATGCATAATTTCTATTATAGAAACATCTTTTTGAGTAGATTATTCCCTTTCTATCCTTTTGCTATGAAAAACAAAAATCAGTTTAAGACTGTTAAGAATGTTTTGGAATTACTTCTCTTGTCCTCAGTGAGTGAAATGTCTAATATGTTTCAAAAATCGATTGGAATCTTTGCTGAATAAAAAATTTTAAAAGACATTTTTGGATTTTTCAGTGTTATCAGCTTAGTCTGAAATCCAGAAATAAAAAACCACTGCATTTCTTTGTAGGTAAAGGGGACAGTCAGTTGAGCTGAATTGTTTTCTCCTGTCACCCTTAGGTTCTCATTAATCAATGAAAATTGGCAATTACATGAAAAAGCAGGTCAAAGGGGAAGACACCACAATGAAGACATGAAGATGGAAACTTGAAGAGTGTGCCTGAGACAATGAAAGCGCAAAGCTGTCTCAGCTTTAGCTACTTGTCATTAGTATTAACAAAACTTTTCAAACACGGCTTTCTCAAGGAAAACCCTAAGTCTTAAATCATGTTAAAGAAATATGCAAAAGGGGTGGATTTTCTTAAATTTAAAATATGTTCCTTCCATTATTTTCTGTGCTGATGTTAGGTACAGTCTTTAAAAAAACACATAATGTCTATGACAAACATTAAGTATTTAGCTTGACCTAAGAAATAATAATGAAACAATGTATTCAGGACCTTGGAAATGATAGATTTGAAAGCAACTTAGGTAGAAAATGAAGACTTGCCACACATGAAAAACCACTGAATAGCTAAATATAGTCATTTAGATCAGAAGTAAAGCTGAAAGTATCTTTAGAGATCATGTCACCTCATTCCAGACCCAGAGATGTCATATGACTTTTTCCTATAGCAAGGAGGAAAACTCTGGATAAGGCAGGAAGATAGACTCTGGTGTCGAAAAATTGTAGAAATCACAAAAATGAGAGCAGATATTGTTAGTGGGGAAGAGTTGGTGGGAGGTTTAATGGAAATTGGAGTAAGTACAAGAAAACTGGCTAAGATGAGAAATAGCAAAGAATAGTGACATTTACAAAAGAAGAAAATGCAGTTTAAAGTGGGGGCATTGTGGGAGGTCAGGGCAGGTGCCCAGGATAGTGAGGCATGCTAAGTATCCACCTCCTTCTCTTCTCTGCTTATATTACAGCAGGAAAAAGGGTCAGCTAGGTGTAGTTTGTTATCAAATCATGGGATGGCTGCGCAATTGCTTATTATCTGCTAGGAAAAAGAGAGGGGCCGACATTGTTGCCTAGTCGATTGGGCTGCTCCCTGAGACACTGGCATTCCATATGAATGACAGTTCTAATTCCTGCTGCTCTACTTCCAATCCAGCTCCCTGTTAATGTGCCTGAGAAATCAGTGGAAGATAGCCCAAGTGCTTGGGTTGCTGAACCCACATGGGAGATCTGGTAGAAGCTTCTGGTTTCTGGCTTTGGTCTGGCTCAGCCCTGCCCGTTGCGGCCATTTGGGGAATTAACCAGCGGATGGGAGATATCTCTGTCTCACTGTCTCTCTATGAACCAGCGGATGGGAGATCTCTCTGTCTCACTGTCTCTCTCTCTCTATTTCTCTGTAACTCTGCCTTTCAAATAAAGGAAGTCTTTAAAAAGAGAATCTGTTAGAAGACAGGAATATGGATAAAGGGGAAGGATAGATGATGTTACTTCCATTTGAACAATAATAATGATAATAATAAAGTAAGAGAAAGAACAACAGTAACAACTCTGTTCTTTCCATCCCTAAACCATTATTCCAACAGACTTCACCAGTTGGTTAATGCAAAAATGTTGCTGAAAGCTTGGTCGCTGTCCCTGATGTCAAATCAAAATGAGGACAAGGTTTTGGAGTGAAGGAAAGAGTACATTTAATCCATCAACATTTATCTATTGACAGAGTCTCAACAGCTACCACTTTGTTGAATGAAGTGTTACGGGATTTATAAAGGAGCTCCTCCACCACATTGACAAATCAAAGTTCTAACTGATGAACTTTTGGGAGATACACTCAAACCATAGTGCATCCTAACCTCAGAGTCATCCTTGATGCTTCTCTGCCTTTCAAATGTCAGGTTTGACCCATCAGGAAAATATGTCAAGGATTACCTGTAGTCTCCATGCTTCACCTCCTTCAACAGCCAACCTGGTCAGAGCCAGCATGATCTCAAAACAGATTTCAGCAATGATCTCCTACCTGGTCTCCCTGCCTCTATTCTCTCTCTCTCTCTCTCTCTTAACCCCTACAATTATCAAACAACGACACAGTGGCCAGGGTAATCCTATGAAAATGTGCCTCAGAACATTTCACTTCTGTGCTCAACATCTACAATAACTTTACAGGTCACTCGGGTGCAGGTCAAAGCCTTTCAAGGACGTACACAATGTGGTCCTTTGTAACCCTCTGAATCATTTACTGCTGCCTTCCACCTCATCCACTCTGCTCTAGTTACACTGCCTACCTTGCTGTTCTGTGAATATACTGGGAAGATTTCAGCCTCAGGGCCTTTGCGCTTGCTGTTCTGTATACCTGGAATGCTCTTTGAACAGGTGTGCAGATGGCTTGCCCCAATACCTCCCTCAGTAATGCCTCTCTAGATAACTATTAAAATTGCCAATCCTGGCCTTATCTGTCCACAATCTCTGCTTTACTTTTCTTCAGTGGACTTGTTGACAGACATACAATGTAAATTACTAATTCACTTTATTATAGACATCTTGTCACTCACTACAATATAAATCTCAAAGGTAAACATTTGTATCTGTTTTGTTTGATGATATACCAAAGAGTGACTGCAACAGAGTTTGTACAAAAATACAATGTTGCAGGTGTTTGCTTCTTTTTTCCTTTTTTAAAGATTTATTTATTTATTTGAAAGGCAGAGTTACAGAGAGGCAGAAGCAGAGAAAGAGAGGTCATCCATCTGCTGGTTTACTCCCCTAGATGTCCACAATATCTGGAGCTGCACTGATCTGAAGCCATGAGCATGGACCCAAGGACTTGGGCCATCTTCCACTGTTTTCCCAGATCATAGCAGAGAGCTGGATGAGAAGCAGAGAAGCCAGGACTCCAACCAGCACCCATATGGGATGCTGGCACTGCAGGTGGTGGCTATACCTGCTATGTCACAGCACTGGCCCTGCAATGTTGTTTTCTAAGTGCTTTACAATGCTATGAAATATTATCCCTATTTTACAGATAAAAATATGGTTATAGAGAGAATATAAATTCATTCTATAGAAAACCAAAAGTTTCCCTCCTGATTTGTGGAGTCAGCTGTGAATCAAATGCACTTTGTTAGCTCTAGCCACATCACATTATGACAGTACTTCAAAAACTTCATGGGGAAATAGAATTAAGCCGTAGGTCTATTTTGATGCAAACTGCTTTTGAAATTTACTGGTGCTTTTGTCTTAATATGTATTTTACATGAACTTTTAGAAGAGCTCTGCACATGAATTTCAAGGGAATTTTTGCTCTTAATTCTATTTCCATGAACTTTTTGAAGAACTTGTTGCAGTAGTTTTTGATGGAAGCTTTGATAATGTTTCATGGAATGGGTGCCTTAGACAATGATGATTCAATCTCTCGTAGTTCTGGAGACTTAAAATTCAAGATCAGAGCATCAGCAGAGTTAGTTTCCACTGAGGACTGTGAGAAAGAATCTCTTCCAAGGCATTTTCCTATTTTCTGGTAGTTTGCCATCAAACTTGGCTTGTAGGGCATCACACTGTTCTTTCTTTCCTCTTCATGTGACATCCTTTATGTGTAGGACTCTGTGTCCCAATTTCCTCTATTTATAAGGGCACCAGTCACTTTGGGTCAGATCCATTCTACTCTAGTACGACTCCTTGCTAACTAATTGTATCTGTAATTGCAGTAATTTCAAATAAGGGCATGTTCTAAAATAATGGAGGCTATGAATTCAACATATGAATTTGTGTGGGGGGGCATAATTCAACCCATGACACTATTGAAGTCAACTATCTGAACACTATGGAGAATGAAAAACAAAACAAAAAAAATTGAAGTGGATTAAAGAGGAATGGACATTTGAAGGAAGAGGCAAGAATGGGATGATTTTCCATTTACTCTTGTTTAGTTTGTAAATGAGTACTACTGAAAGATTGTCAAATATAGACAGAAAATATGAACCAATCAAATACAATGATGGATTCCTGTACTGTAATTATATCAGGTAAATCAGCAATATTATTGAAAGGAATATTTAAAACCCTGTGAAAAAAATATTGTGTCATCAAAAATAAATTCAAATTGGATTCAAGACTTAAACATAAGACCTGAAAACTAAAGTGAACCTAAGGGAAAAAGTTCCTTGGCATTGGTGTCGGCTATGACATTTTTGGATGTGACACCAAAAATGCAGACAACAAAGGTAACAATAAACAAGTGAGATTACATCAAACTAGTTTCTGCACAGTAATGAAAAATTCACCAAAATGGAAAGGCAACCTACAGAATGGGAGAAGTATTTGCAAACCATATGTCTAATAACGGATTAATATCCAAAAGATATAAGGAACTCAAGTCAAAAGTAAAAACCAAATGACAAACTTAAAAATCTGCAAAGTACTTATATAGATGACATAGAAATAGTCAGTAGGCATAGGAAGAGGTGCTCAATAGCTCCTATCATCAGGGAAATGCAAATTAAAACCACAATGAACTATTATCAAAATGGTGGGTGATTACTCATGTATTTGGTCCTATTTGTACTCATTTAGTTTTTATTTTTTTTAAAGACTTTATTTATTTATTTGAGAGGTAGAGTAACAGACAGTGAGAGGTTCACTCCCCAGATGGCTGCAACGGCCGGAGCTGTGCCAATCTGAAGCCAGGAGCCATGTCCTTCCTGGTCTCCTGCATGGGTGCAGGTGCCCAAGGACTTGAGCCATCTTGTATACTTTCCCAAGCAATAGCAGAGAACTGGATTGGAAGACAGGAGGCCAGGACTCGAACCAGCACCCATATGGGATGCCAGTACCTCAGGCAGAGGATTAACCTACTGCACCAAGGCACTGGCCCCGAATTTAGTTTTTATTTCAAAAAATTGTTTTGCTTTTCTGTTTCTTTTCTTTAATTCTTTTTAATTTAAAAAACATATAAAAGGAACACTTTTAATGTATTCATACATACAGTTTTAAGAACATAATGATAGTTCCCACAAGACTTCTCTCACTCCAACCCTTCCTCATCCTTCATTTCATATATAGGTGTTTATATAGTATACTAATAAATACACTATATATATTATACTATATATACTATACATTTGCTTATATATATATGTTAATCTTCACATTGACATTTTTTCAATTTATTTTATAATCACAAGCTTAAACCTCCATTAAATAAAGAATTCAACAAGTAGTCAGTAAAACTCACTGTTACTTCGGAGCATTGACTAAGGGCTATAGACAATATTCAAATCCCAGGATGTCAATTTCACTCATATACATTATAACTTTTGTTCTTCATATATTAATTATGACAAAACATGGGAAATATATTTGTCTTTTTGGCACTGGCTTATTTCACTAAGCATAGTGGTCTCCACTTGCATTCATTTTGTTGTGAAAGAGAGGATTTCATTCTTTTTTTTAATGGCTGAGTAGAATTCCATCATGCATATATATTACAATTTCTTTATATAGTCCTCAATTGATGGATATTTGGGTTGATTTCATATCTTAGCCATTGTCAGTTGAGCTGCTTTAGATATGGATATACAGATAACTCTCATTTGCTGATTTCATTTCCTTTAGATAAATTCCCAGTACTGGGAAGGCTGGGTCATATAGTAGGTCTATTTTCACATTTCTGCAGAATCTCCATACTGCCTCCATAATGGTTGTACTACTTTACACTCTCACCAACAGTGTATTCAGGTACATTTTCCCCGTCTCTTCACTAGCACTTACTTTTTGGATTTTTGATAGCCATTCTAACTGGGGTGAGGTGAGACCTCATTGTGGTTATTAGTGGCATTTCCCTGATGGCTAGTGAGCCTGAGCATCTTTTCATGTGTCTGTTGGCCGTTTGTATTTCATCATTTGAAAAAAATGCCTATTCATATCCTTAGGGCATTTCTTAACTGGATTGTTTGTTTTGTTGTTGTTGAGTTTCTTGAGCCCTTTATATATCCTGGGAATTGTTCCTTTATCAGATGTACAGTTTGAAATATTTTCTCCCATTCTGCTGTTGCCTAACTTTACTTTATTGAGTGTTTCCTTTGCTGAGCAGAAGCTTCTTAGCTTGATATAATCCTATTTGTCTATTTTTGTCTTTATTGCCTGTGCTTCTGAGGTCTTATCCAAGAAGTCTTTGCCTATGCCAATGTCTTGCAGTGTTTCTCCTGTGTTTTCCCATTGATTATTTCAGGTCTTCTGTCTAGATCCCTGATCCACTGTGAGTTGATTTTTCTCTATGTTATGGTTTATGTATGTTATGGTTTAAGTTATGGGTTTTGTTTCATAGTTCTGCTTGCAGAGATCCAATTTTCCCAACACCATTTGTTGAAGAGACTGTCTGTTTTCCAGTGATTGATTTTAGCTTGTTTGTCAAAGATTAGTTGGTTGTAGATGCATGGATTAATTTCTGGGGTCTCTAATCAAGTCCATTGTTCCACAGGTCTATTCTTGTGCCAGTACCAAGCTGTTTTGTTAATAACTGGCTTTTAATATGTCTTGAAAACTGTTATTTTCTTGCCTGCAGCTTTATTTTTATTTTTTTGGATTGCTTTAACTATTTGGGGTCTTTCAGAGTCATTTTTTTAGATTTGAGAAGAACATTTTTGGTATTTTATTGGGATCCCACTGAATCTGTTAATTGCTTGTGGATATTTGGATGAAATTTATTCTTCCAATCCATTAACATGCAAGATTTTTCCATTCTTTTTTGTGTTTTATTCTATTTCTTTCCTTAATGTTTTGTAATTTTCATTGTAGAGTTCTTTCACGTGTTTGGTTAAATTTATCCCAAGGTATTTTAAAGTTTTTCTAGCTATTGTGAATGGGACTGATCTTACATGTTCTCTCTCAGCCATGCCATTGTTTATGTATACAAATGATATTGATTTTTGTGTGTTGATTTTGTAACTTGCTTTTATTCTTATAACAAAATAACTTAGACATTGACTTATGTCTGCTTGCCTTTATGACAATATCACAAGTATAATTATGAGTTGTTTTGGATATGCTTCCCCTTTTGTTTTATTTCCAGATCTATTGTTACCACCTCATTTCATTTTTTTGGCTGTCTTGCCTTCCTCAGCTTCCATTATGACTGAAAATTTTAAATTCAGTGACTCTCAAGATCCCAGTGACCATACTATTGTCCATGTCACCTACAATACTCTAGCCCTCTTAAGGGATTCTGAGCCACATTTGTTTTGCTTTAGTTCATCCATCAACACACTTCCCAATACATTCTATCATGCTGAAATATCTTATCTCCTAGTAATCCTTAACTGTCTCTTCATTGTTGCAGGTAGATTTCTATCTTCGGATTTTATATTGTAATTTCCATTCAAATATCAAGAGGAATAGTGTATTTGTCATTTTATTTTATTTTATTTTATTTTTTTTTTGACAGGCAGAGTGGATAGTGAGAGAGAGAGAGACAGAGAGAAAGGTCTTCCTTTTTGCCGTTGGTTCACCCTCCAATGGCCGCCGCGGCCTGCACGCTGCAGCCGGCGCACCGCGCTGATCCGGTAGCAGGAGCCAGGAGCCAGGTGCTTTTCCTGGTCTCCCCATGGGGTGCAGGGCCCAAGCACCTGGGCCATCCTCCACTGCACTCCCTGGCCACAGCAGAGGGCTGGCCTGGAAGAGGGGCAACCGGGACAGAATCCGGCGCTCTGACCGGGACTAGAACCCGGTGTGCCGGCGCCGCTAGGCAGAGGATTAGCCTAGTGAGCCGCGGCGTGTATTTGTCATTTTAAACTGGAATTTTCTCAGTCATCTATATCAATCACATCCAAATCTCAATCCTCATTGTAAAGCTCTTTGCTGAGTGCCAGGTTCATACATCAATATTTTTCTGGACATTTCTCAGGGTGTCTTCCAAACTCAATATTCCACAAACTGAAGTTCCCATTCCTTTTTCAAACTTTCCATATTTTCTCTGTTGGGAAGACATTGATAATATCTCCCTTCTACTTGTCTACATCAGAAGCTTGACCATCCTTTATGCCATTTCTTCCCACTCACCTCCCCCCAACCACTTAACAAATTCAATTACATTTCCAAATATCTGTTCAGTGGATCTGCTCCTCTTTATGATGTCTGATTTGGATTACTAAGGTGCCTTGATGTATTTTTCTTTAACTACTTTTACCCCTTTCCAGACCATTCTTTATATGACTGCCAGGGAAACTTTTCTATTGCAAGCTTGATACTATCTCTTCATTAGAGCCACTGGGTGGCTCCTCACTGATCTCAGGAAAAAGTAGCAAACCTTCATGTAATGTGTAAAGGCCTGGATAATCTGGACTATGCCTTTCTTTGGTCTCCCTGTCGTCCCAAAAAGCACCCCCCAAAAAGTACCCTCCAGCCACAGTGAATTACTTAAATGTTCTATGCCTTTTTTAAAATCTGATTTCTATACTTCTTCCTGTCTTGGAATCCTCTTCTCTCCCATTTATATCTGTCCAGCATTTACTCATTCTTCAGATCTTAAGTGTTCCTCTCTTGTGTAAATCTGCACAAATCTTCAAGGTTGCCCCACTCTGGCATTTTCATAGGACACCTCTTAATTTGCTGCACTCCAGTACATAGCCCTGAACTTCATTAGATAAGAATTGTAAATGATGCTTAGTAAACAGAGATTTTGCACATTCTCTGATATGTAAGCTAAACAGTTTTTTTTTTTCAGATTCTGTGCTTAGATGTACTGTATATTTAAATCCAAGAAAAATGTGAAAATAACTTTTTATGAGAATTTTTTCTTCATGCAAGTTAATTATTGGGCTCATTTATTCAGTGAAAGTACTTTCAAAGCTTCCTTGCATGATGGGTATTTGGCACAGCAGGTAAGACACTATTTGGAAAACAACAACAACAACAACAAAAGGCCGGCGCCCCATCTCACTAGGCTAATCCTCCACCTGTGGCGCCAGCACCCCGGGGTTCTAGTCCCAGTTGCTCCTCCTCCAGTCCAGCTCTCTGCTGTGGCCCGGGAAGGCAGTGGAGGATGGCCCAAGTGCTTGGGCCCTGCACCCGCATGGGAGACCAGGAGGAAGCACCTGGCTTCTGGCTTCAGATGGGCACAGCGCGCCAGCCGCAACATGCCCACCTAGTGGCCATTTGGGGGTTGAACCAATGGAAAAAAGGAAGACCTTTCTCTCTGTCTCTCTGTCTCTCTCTCTCACTGTCTAACTCTGCCTGTCAAAAAAAAAAAAAAAAAAGACACTGGGATGCCTGCATGCCAAATCACAGTGCCTGAGTTCAGGTCTCAGATCTACCTCCGATTCCTGCTAATGTGCATGCTGGGAGACTGCAGGTGATGGATCAGATATTATGATCCCAGATACCTCATGTGAGGCTCACACTGAGTCCCAGGCTTCCGATTTTGGCCTAGCTCAGGCTTAGATCCTGCAGGTATTTGGGGAGTAAACCAGTGGATGGAGAATCTTTCTTCTTTCTTTCTCTCTGTTTCTTTGTGTCTTTCTTTTTCTGTCTTCCTGTCTCTGTCTCTGCCTTTCAAATAAATAATAAGTAAAGGAAATTAAAAGGCTTCATAGAATTTTCTTGTTTAGTTCAAAATATTTTTTATAGGTTTATTCATTTGAGTGGCAGAATTACAGACAGAGAGGGAGAGACAGAGAGAAAGGTCTTCCCTCTGCTCACTGGTTTACTCCAGAGCTGGGCCAGAGCTGGGCCGATCTGGAGCCAGAAGTCAGGAGTTTCTTCCCATTCCTGCATGTGGGTGCAGGGGCCCAAGTACTTAGACCATCTTCCACTGCTTTCCCATACCATAAGCAGGGAGCTGGTTCAGAGGAGTAGCACCCTGAAAGGAACCAGCACCTATATGGGATGTTGGTGCCAAAGGTGGGCTCTTAGCGTACTATGCCACAGCACCTGCTCAAAATATTTTAAAAACCATTTGTCTATTTGTGTATGTTTCTAGTATTTGATGTTATTAAGTCATAGAAAATATTGTGTTAACATAAATAAGCCCTGATCATATCAAATGTTATTTTTGCATTTTCTACCTATTCTTTTGCTGAAAATTATGTTTATTTCATCTTCTTTTGGCTTGCCTTCATTTTGTAATACTGACATCTTTCAAAAAAGAACAGCCCTATAAAGTAGATTACAATGTATACTAAGTATATTGTTGGTTGTGTTACATCATATATCATTCTCCCAGTGATCTCATGGAACACATTTCTTTCTGCAAGGAATAAAGTTGTTATTCTTAAGAAATAAAGATGTTATTCTTGAACAATAAAAAATACTTTGTGCAACTAAGATGCTTAAAAGTCATTATGTTCTCCTTGTCTCAGCAATAATTAACATTTTGAGTGCATGGTTCTTGAACTAACTTTACTTCTGGCTCTGTCTCATATTTTTACCCCTTTGCCTCATAGTTCTTACTTCCATCAACTTTATTTTTATCCTAGTATATTATTTGATCCATATATTTAATTCCTTTAGGATAAATAGAGGTGTAAATAAATACACAAAGTATTTTCCATGTTGAAACACTTAGACCACATAGAGACTGACATTATAAATACTTTTGGTATAAAAGCCAAAATTAAAGTTGAAATTTCCTGGAATATCATACGTTTTAGGGTAAAATATTATTGTTTTTGGAAATGAAGAATCTAAAAATAGAGTTTTCTTATGTCTCAACCCCATGGACACCAATTTTAGAAGGTTTGTTTCAAATGAACAGATTGTCCTCAAGCCTTTGGCTTCATAGGATTGCTAAATACATTGTCATGATTAAGCATGGATGAATAGAATTTAGCCCATCATTGTAAGCTTCCCCTAGATCAATGACTTTACGAATGGAAAAATATGTTTTCTCTTCTTCTTCTGTCTAATCAACAGTTTGCTTATTATACTGTCTCCATAATTTATCTTAAAATCAATGGGATCAATAACCATTGTTTCCACCTGCTCTTCCTCCATCCATTTTATTGAACACATAAATAGCTACAGGCTTTAGAACATCATAAATTAAACTATAACTAAAAGATTAAGCAATCCTAGTGATCTGATACATGTTAGATGTGTGAAAAGTGGTATTCTTTCTTTCAGAGAAAATTGTAAGTTTGATACTATGATCATTATATTGACAGTATTAATGCCTAGTTTCAATTTTTCCCCTGATTTATAGTATATTTTCTTCTAGGGTAATAAAAATTTATGCCCTCATCACCTAAAATAGTTCTATTCCTGTATCCACAGAAAAGTGTTTTGGTATTTTAATGCATTAAGCTTATATTTGGAAAATTGAGGTGAACTCTTTGAATGTTATTGTGTTATTATTTGTATAAACCAGTTAGGTAAAGGTGCCTTCTGTATAATCATTGTTATGAAGTAATTGGGATTTTGTAAAGAAAATCTGTTTTATTATTTACATATTTAAATGGTATAATATACATGAGGAATACCAATTGATATAAAACACATCTCTTTGCAATGTAGTTTTAAAATGTCAATGAGCACATGTTTTAATTTGAAGTGTTTTACAATACTCTTTCTACAAGAATTACTTTCACATAAATATTGTTGTCAGTATAAAGTATATTTTACCTCTCAGTAGTCATTCTTGTTTGTTTTGTTCAGGTCAAAGAGAAGAATTTCCTGAGCTTTGATATGTAGTTTTCAATTTTATTTTATGAGAGATAGAGGGAGAGAGCACCCATCTGTTGGTTCACTCCCTAAATCCCTGTAACACCTGGGACTGAGCCAAGTTGAAGCCAGGACCCCAGAACTCAATCTAGGTCTCCCACATTGGTGGCAGAGACCCAAGTGCTTGAGCCATCTTCTGTTGGGTCCCAGGGTACACATTAATAGGAAGCTGGATAAAAAGCAGAGGATCCAGGACTCAATATAGGATGTAGGTGTCCCAAGCAGTTTCTTAGCTTTGCCAAATATCCACTCCTTTATTATCTTTTTAATGACACAGAAATAAATGTTTTTAATGACACAGAAATAAATTCACATTTTGATTGTGAGCCAATCTATCTGTAGGTCACTATAAAAATGTTATGAAATATTATATTTTGTGGAAAAAAAGATAAGGAAGAAACCCGGTTTAGTAGCAGTTCAAATGAAAACAACATAGGGTATTTAAATCAGCCAGTCATTGTTTTTGCTGTTAAAAAGGGTAACAAAATGATGAGCTGATTTGTTACAAGAAGACACAATCAACAGGTACTAGACAGAGTTCTGATCATGAAAATATTGCACAAAACATTTGCTCTTAATGCTTTTCAGGAGAATTATTATATTCAGTTCTGCTCAACAAATTTGAAGAAGACTGACATTTACAATTCAGATAGTGTTACAAGGAACATTTATGGTTTCTTCAGATATATAGATTGAAGAAAAACAAGACGCAGAGATCTTCTTGACTAGGAATTTCATCTTTTGGACGATTGTGCAAATGCTTACTATCTTCCAGGTGCAAGACTGTGCAGGAATTTCACTCACTTAGTCCTTACATGGACTTTGTTAAGTGCATGAAAATATCAAAATATGTGCAAAGTGATGGGATTTCTATCTTGGAGAAAAAGGAAACCTATAAAAAAATTAATATGGGGCTGTCTCTGTGGTGTGGCTGGTAAAGCCACCGCCTGTGATGCTGGCATCACATATGGGCGCTGGTTTGAGTCCTGCCTGCTCTACTTTAATCCAGCTTCCTGCTGATGTACCTGGGAAAGTAGTGGAATTTGGCCCAACTCCTGCCACCCAAGTGGGAGACCTGAAAGAAGCTCCTGGCTCCTGGCTTCAGCCCGGGCCAGTCCTGGCTGTTGCACCTATCTGGGTAGTGAATCTGTAAGTGGAAGGTCTCTTCTCTCTCTGTCTCTCCTTCTCCTCCCAGCTCCCACAATGTGTGTGTGTCTTCCTTTGTCTCTGTGTACTCTTTAAAATAAATAAATAAATAAATAAATAAATAAATAAATAAATCTTTAAAAAAGAAAAAAATAATGTTCCTTAAGTATTGGAAAGATTAATATATAAACAAGGCAATTACCCTGCACAAAATACAGAAGTGATATTCATGATTAGGAGTTAGAGTGGTTGGTTTTGAGTTCTTTTTTTAAAAAAAAAAACTTTCTAAATAGAGTAGAAAAACAGATTGTGTTGTGTGATAGTGACATTCCTGATTTGAAATGATTTTTGAATCTGAATTTGCTAAACCACATTCCAAAATGTTTGAAAGAGGACTGATGGGTGGGTGGAAGTTTTCATTGTCTGACTTCTGAGGTCCCAAAGTTAATAATCTATGCTTCTAATTACTGATTTATGTCACTTTTAGCTTCTTCCCCCTTTCTCTTGAATATTAAAAACTACTGATTCACACTTACCAAGGCAGCCAACCTTTTGGGGCAGAGTCCAAAAACCTGCAGAGCTCAACGAGGAAATTGGATGCTCAGTTTGGCTCCGGCAATTTATTATTTATTTATTTACTTTTTGACAGGCGGAGTGGACAGTGAGAGAGACAGAGAGAAAGGTCTTCCTTTGCCGTTGGTTCACCCTCCAATGGCCGCTGCAGCTGGCACGCTGCGGCCGGCACACCACGCTGATCTGATGGCAGGAGCCAGGTACTTCTCCTGGTCTCCCATGGGGTGCAGGGCCCAAGGACTTGGGCCATCCTCCACTGCACTCCCTGGCCACAGCAGAGAGCTGGCCTGGAAGAGGGGCAACTAGGACAGAATCCGGCGCCCCGACCGGGACTAGAACCCGGTGTGCCGGCGCCGCAAGGCGGAGGATTAGCCTAGTGGGCTCCGGCAATTTCTTAGTGATGTTGGAGAAGTGAGGATAAGCAAAATGTGCAACCTAAATACATCTAACCTGCTGTGGCTATGCACGGGGGTTCTCGTTATGTATGCAGGGAACACAGGGATACCTCAGCTGCATCTCAGTGGAATTGACCATGCATAACTTCCCTAATGGGAAGAAGAACTTGAAAAGAGAAAGAAGACCATGATCATAAGGAAGAAGAGGCACCTCTGCCACAGGCGTCAACCGCTGAAATAATTTATGTCGTGGTTTCATTTGGGTGTAAATTATTATCTTTCCCATATATCTCATATGGAAAATTTTTATTCTGAATTCTTCATGACGATAAAGCTAAAATATTGCTGCCAAAAATCCGTTCTAGTTGCATTAAAACATTTAAATATGAGCATCCCTAGATCCAGTTCCAGTTTATTCACTGACTTCGTTCCACCGACTGTCTTCAATTATGCGTGTTGACTGGTTGAATTCCTGCTCTCCTATGCATTATTTATTTTAACTTTGAGTGTAGCATGGAATAAGAGCAGATTAATTTGCTCAGAGCACTACTTAAGGCAAGTGTTTTAGACTTGCCAGGATTTTACTGATAACCTAGTCTTCTGGCTTAATACCATTCCTGGCCTCCCATTGGAAGAATTTGTTTCTTTTCAGTTTCAAGGAATATGAACTATTTACTGAGGTATCTTAGCCAAATACATTACAGAGATGCACACCAGTTAATGTGATCACGTTTGTTAGGTAAACAATCTCCTGAATGGTTTTCTCACTATTATCCCTGCTATTTAAGTTCCTTCGTTTGACATAATTTGCTGCCAGTTTGGTTAAGGCAATTAATATTTGTGTTAATTAGATATTTGTTGTCTGTCCTAAAGTGGAGGCATTTAGCTCATGATGGGAACTGCTGTTAGTCCCTTGTTCTGAGGGTTGCTCTTTGTGTTTTGCTACTTTCTCCATGGCACACTTGCATTGCATCTCTGTCTTGCCAGCGCTGTGTATAGACCTCTGGAAACATTGGCACCAGACTGTCAGGCACCCACAGCAGGCTTTGTCTCTTGTTTAAAAATGTTGATCTGGGTGCTGGCATTGTGGTGCGGTGGGTATGCCGCCACCTGTGATGCCAGCATCTCACATGGGCATTGGTTTGAGTTCCAGCTGCTCTGCTTCCAACTCAGCTCTCTGCTAATGGCCCGGGGAAAAGCTGTGGAAAATGGCCCAAGTGTTTGTACCCATGCTACCCATGTGGGAGACCCAGATGTAGTTCCTGGCTACTGACTTCCACTTGGCTCAGCCCTGGCTGTTGCAGCCATCTGTGGGGTAAACCAGTAGATGGAAGATCTCTCTGTATCTCCCTCTCTGTAACTCTTTCAAGCAAATAAATAAATCTTAAAAAGAAGTGTTGATCTGATAGAGCTGAGAAAAAGAGATGACCAACTAGGAAGGGATGGTAAACATCTACTCTTACCAAGATATTGAACTGTTTATGTGATGGTACGTGTGAAACAAATGAAAGAGCAAAGAAATTTTTTGTATGATTAAATGCCATTTGCAGATGAAAATATCTTGAAACAGGCATTAATGAAATACTTTTTAAATTCTGATACTGTTTTCTAGCTTTGGAAGTGGGGGGTACATGTGTATGTGTCTGTCTGTGTGTGCACTTGAGTACCTGAAACCATTTTTTGAGTTCTGTGTGCTGGCTTCCTGTACTCAGGAACAATAGCCTAAATGTCCAACCACTGCTGGCAGTGACAAAGCATTGAGAACAAAGAGAAGCAGCAAAAAGCCAACATAGTAAATGCTGGTCTTACATGAAAGCAAGAGATTGGAGTACAAATGCAATTTCCTTTTCCCAGCACATGCTTTTGATTTATACTACCCTAAACATAAGACCAGTTTGGATGCAGAGCCAACAGCAGTTGCAGGTGCAAGGAAGTTCACTGAAGTGCCTCACTTTTGTGTCCTCTGCTGTAACCACTGTCAACCAGAGAAATTGTGTAATCTGTCTTCCGTTTCAAGTCACATACTAATGTCATTTTTACCTCTTCTGCATTCTTTATTCTATACATACTCTGTTGCTAAACTCTACTTCATTTTTGTTTTGTCTTCCCCCTCTTATCTCTCCACTTTCTCTGTACACCCTGCCCACACCTATTCTGCATCATTGTGGTCAGCATTATTTCTTCACCCATCATTTTGCCCATTATATTTTTTCTAAAATGTCTTGTAGTTGTTTCTGATTAGGCTCTCCAGAATTCCAAGAGCCAGACACTATCCATTAGAGCCTGATGGAGTAGCCTTGAACAGAATTCTCTTGAGTTCTATATGCTTTGGTTGATGAGTCTTCGATCTTATTAGACAGACTTAACCAAATTTCTCATGACACAGTCATTTGTGTCCAAATGTAAAGCCATTATGAAAACATCCTCATATATCCTCAATTATGTTTCTCTCTTTGACAGAAAAATTGAGGTATAATAGAGACATGGGCTTTCATTTGAGCAGGCAGCAACTCATGGATCTTGCAGCTCCAAAGCTGAAGTAGCATAGATGCTCCACTGATTACACAAAGGGAAAGAGGTTATGGGGCTAACAAGGAAGTAGAGGGACTATTTGATGGGTTACATCCA